GAAACCAAGCATTCAACAAGTACAAAGGAATCATTAGTTCATTCAGACACTACAGATAGTCATCTTACACGAGTCATAGTTGAACTCCATTATTCATGACAATATTTTTGAATAAAACTGACTATTCTTATTGAAGATAATCTGAATATAATGTTTTGCTGGTGTATTTATATTTGTCATTTTCAGTAATAGGAAGTTATAACAAGAACATACTTAATCAATGTTTCTAATCATTTACTCCGATTTATCAGCTTCAATTATCTTAGATTTGAGTTATACATTCCTTGTCACAATGCCCGCTGTCAACTTATATCCAAAAGTGCTCATTTTCTTATACATTGACTATAGTAATAATTTGTTACTACATACTTTATATATTAAGGTTATTTTTTTTCATTTCCACATTACCATAGTTACGTATCTACTCAATAACCTGTCTATACTACTTTTGGTCATTATTATCAATAATATAATGAATATGAATAAAATTTAATTAGTGATGATAGGAATTTTGCAAATGACTACAATAAATGCATTAGTTTATTTTCATCGTCATTTACCCTCTTTCATGAATAATTAATACTCTAGTCTTATTCAGACATTAGGCTTTTCAAATTAATGAATACATGGAGTAGATTTAAACGATTTACCTCATTTTATTAAATATTGTAGGATACTTGGATGTTAAATAAACTATTCTTGTAATATTATGAAGTGTGAATTCATTCGGTATTGTTTGATTAAATCGCCGCATTGATGTATAAGGCTGCAATTAATCAGTCTCTTATTGGTATATATGCACCAAGTGAGCATTGCCTTGATATTGCCTTAATTCACAAGCATAGGCATAGATGGATAATGGTTGGCAGTGGAATTTAGGACACGCGTTTCGTCCTATTTAGAACTCGTCAACTGGTTGTACCTGCAACTCAGAATTTATGTTGACTCTGAGACTCGAACACAGTACTGTTCCCTTCGAACACCATCAAGTTATCAGGACTCAGTAGTTAAATGGATAACGTGATTGAGTGAAAATCAACTTTGAAATTCAAATACATACAGCTGACGAGTTACAAATGAGACGAAACACGTGTCTTGGATTCCACTTCTAATCATCACTCATCTTTGCTTACTATGAAGAATGGTTTAGTTTGCCTAATTTAATAAACATTTCTATAATTGTATATGGAGCAGTGATATGTGAATATTTACAATAATAACGTCATCCAAGCAACAACAAAAAACCATTCATTCACTAGGGAATGAGATATTATGATTTCTTCTTCAATTTCAATGTTTTGTCTGCTTATTAGAAGATATTTTCATGGTAGTACAATTATGTACAATGGGAATATTATGAAATGATACTCTAAAGAATACATATTAGTAAGCACTGATTTTTTCAGCCTCTATGGAGCACAATGTGATTTTTACAAAATAATGATAGTTATGCATCTAATAATTGAAATTATATAGTTGCTAGTGTGTAGTTTTAGATTGATAATTCCTGACTTTCTAGCCTAAAACCAGGATCAGTATTATTCAACTATATCAAGTGTGAGGTAGTAATCTATGAATGATATTGAAAGATGATTGTTCAATAATGAAAATATAGTCAATTTAGACATTTTTAGTAATTTAATAGTGACTCATTCGTTTAAAACCTAAGTTTCCATCTTGTAACCTGAAGGTTTTGGGGTTGTTTTTTTCCATAGGGGTGATTGTTAAAGAAGATAATTTATAGAATAATTATACTGAGACATGTTTTTCAATCATGAAGCTTTGTTTTACCCATGTCAAATGGAATTGAAAATGAAAGATTTAAAATATATTCCTTAAGCGTTAAAAATCAATTCGTCCAGTTGAAATAAGTTTCCCTGATGAAGCTTTTGTTTTATACATGGTTAACCGCACTATTATTTTCTGCTTATCTCTGATCATATAAATGATTGATAGGTTCTATATAAATTGGTTAGATAAATCTATGTTGATATGTGAACTAATTATTTGTTGACTTCAATGTCATCCTTGTAGAAATTCTGACTTTTCTTAGGACTTTTTTTTCATTTTTGATTTTTGACATTTGTGCTGTCAATTTGGTACCAGTAATTGTCTGCGTGAACTGATAAGTATGATAATTCATTGTCTCATTGCTAATGTATATTGTTGTCCAGTTTTATTAAATACTGTTTTCTATAGTTGAGATCATAAGTGAACTGAAATGAGACAACCATGGAAAACCTGGAAGCATTGACATGTCGTTTCGTCCTATTGCAAGACACCTCATCAGTGCGTGTTCACGATCCCGCCACACCAGATTCGAACACGAGACCTAACGGTCTTGCGCGTGATCGCTTAACCACTAGACCACTGAGCCGGACGGCATCCAGCGGTGTTAATGTCTAATTTCAACCGATCCATGAAATTGAGTGACACATCTATCATTGTTTTCACTGAGTTGTTATCTCACAACAGACCTAGTTGAACTCCACTGGTCACTGCTTCTCACTAGAACTTCAGGAAATACCCTTTGAAGTCAGTCACAAGTGAGCATATGTTCATTAATATCGAAAGGGGTTTCTCTGCTTATATTATAGTAATTTAAATAGTTGAGATCATGAGTCAATTGAAGCTGGACAGCCATGGAAAACCTGGGATCGTGAGTACGCACTACTGAAGAGTCTTACAATAGGTTGAAACGGCCAACAGTGCTTCCAGGTTTTCCATGGTTATCCCGCTTCAATTGATTCATGATCTCAACTATTGAAATTATTAGAATATCCACAAATAAGCCCTTTCTGATACTAATTATAATATTATTTTGTTCGTAATCTTAACAAGTCCGTTCCTTTTATCACCATTATATTTCAGTTCACTTGAATTCACCACAACATCTAAATGTACAGTGATATCTTAAGTAATTAACTTCAAGTAGTTACATCTAGACAACAACATAATACCTCCGACAACTTGCGAGTTAATGATAATTGTCATTAGTTCAGTTTTATTTATCAGAAAGAAATCAATATTCACCACATAAGAACACTGTATCAAAGCAATGATTTAATTCTTAATATTACCAAATCTCATGAATGGATCATTGTTAGACCACCATTAAAAACCTAGAAATACTGGATGGCTTTTTTGTCTTAGTGTGAAATTCCTCAGCAATGTGCATCTACGATTCCATACACAACACTCAAATCCACAACCTTCAGTTTGATGCACAAACATGTAACCTCTAGACCACTGACCTAATATTCAACCGTGTGAATATCTAACTTCAACCAATATTGTTCTAATATTGATCGATTCATGATATCAATTTAAACTTAACAATCAACATAACCCTATAGAGTTTGTTACCAAACCTGTGGATTTTATTCTATTTTTAGTAACCAACGAAAATCACTATACAATTTTGAGTGAATGATTTATGTTTATAGAAAAATGTCTACTTTTCCTTTAGTCCAGTTCCGTATATACAAAGATGGGTTTTTTAATATTCCATTTATGGTACTCCGTGAAATATGATGATTTAATAAAGGACAAAAAAACTACCGTCTTCTGTCATTAAAAGTAGCTTATATATATATATATATATATATATATGTTCAGTCACGTTTATATAGTCAATAGGAATATGAAACATAAAATGCCTAGAGGTAAAAAACAAAACAAAACTAAGAGAACTTGGTCTGATGTAAATGAATTTCATTTTGTTTACAATCAGCAAAATCTTATAGAACTTTAGAAATCATAAACAGTAAAATAGACTTTATAAGTAACCATAAAGTGTATTATTGTCTAACATTAGTTGTTATACTGTTATTTAGGCAAATGTGACAAGAAATAAAAAAAATAGAAGAATAGTCTTTGTTTTTGGTCAAAACTAAATGAATATGGATGAGTAATGATGAATAATGGTTAGGAGTGTAATACAAGATATGTGTTTCGTCTTATTTAGAATTCGTCAGCTGGACGTACTTTTGTGGTGTATGCTACTTATATTGATATAAGTAGTATATGACACTAGTTAAAAACGTCATGTCTGGCAGCAAAAGATGGGGGAAGAGCAAGAAAGGTAGAGCGGGAACACAATGAAATTTGTATGAACAATGAAATGTAAGACAGTGGATTGATGATTGTACTGGTATGACCGAGAGTGGGGTGGGCCCGCCCTCCCTCTCGAAATACTCTTACATGGCCACGCGTATACAGCCTCTGCCAGGGAAGTCCTACTCACTGCCTTCTCGTGGTAGGGGTGTTGTTTACGAAAATGAGAGGACGAAAAGCGAATGTCTGGCGCTTTAACCGGATTCCAAACCAATGTTGCACATGGGCTTCAGTATCCTGCGGGAACAAATGGCGTATGAACCAATCGTTGGTCACCGACTACCATGGGAATGCATCTCCTCACGATGTTCCACTGCCTTGTGTTAAATACAATCCGATTGTCCCCACCCGTGTTCTGTTCACTACACTTGTATCTCAGAGTTGATTTCCACTCCACAACTGGAACTCAGTACTTTTCACTTTAAACACTATCACGTTATCTACTTAGCTATTGAATGCTGAAAGCTACTTGCTTGTGCAATACAATGAAGTTTAAATTCAAATAAACCATACTAAGTCAATTTAAATATAAATTTGTTCGTGATTTAAGGTGAATTGACTGTATAGTTATGACAAAAACTTATTTTGTTAAGTAGATTAAACTATTTCAGTGATTTATGTTAGAATGAATACATTTCGTATATGGCTTCTTATTCTATCATTTCATAATGGATATAGATGTAGTATAGATTGAGTGATTTAATTGGCAACTATATTCTATAAACATTATGGTTATCAACTATTGAAGACAACAAAACAGCATTGAAGCAATGGTTCCGCAGTTTCATTATGTATCCAACGAAATATTCGCAGTGCTTTTTATCGTTCGAATTAACAAGAATTTAAATAACATTTTAGAAAAATAATCATACAATTAGACTTACGACCCATTCTTGTATCCTCGCTAAAATAAAGGACATATATACAGTTTAAGTTAAACCATCTCAAATATTATTCAACAAATACAATATACAAGTGTAAATAGTGATAATTTGATGGATAAAAAAATACTATGCTTATTTCAGTAGTTAAGATCATAAGTCAACTGAAGCTAGAGCACCATGGAAAACCTGGAAAAACTGGACATCTGTTTCGTCCCATCGTGGGACTTCTCAACAGTGACCAGTGGAGTTCACCTGGGTCTGTTGTGAGACAGTAATTCAATGATGACGTGTCGCTTTAATTCGTGGATTAGGTGAGGTTAAACATTAGCACTGTTGGATGCCAGCCGGCTCAGTGGTCTAGTGGTTAAGCGATCACGCGCAAGACCGTTAGGTTTCGGGTTCGAATCTGGTATGGCGGGATCGTGGACACGCACTGATGAGGTTTCCTGCAATACGACGAAATGATAGGTCAGTGCTTCCAGGTTTTCCATGGTGATCTAGTTTCAATTGATTCATTATCTCAACTATTGAAATTACTATGTTTATTAGTTCAACACACTAGACTTATTCTAAACATACCTAATGTATCCAAATAAAGTAGTAACGTATTCTCGCAAAAATTTAATTTTGTAAATTCTTAGAGTACTACTTTGTCAAATATTCAAAACATTCATAGCTATTCAGAAACGTTGTACATTCTAAATCCCATGAAGTTTCTCAAATTATTTTTTTTTCCTTAATGTCTTACTAGAGTCATTTGTGCAGACAACCTACTATCGTTTGAATAGTTCATTGTGAAGCTAAAAACACAAGATTTTCATTAACACAAGATATCGGTATTCTTTACTAGTTTATATTATTCGTATAATCTTCACTGCTTATATTGTAATGTGCGCTATAAGTAAGATGCGACAGAAGTTGGAAGTGAAACAGAGGAAGGAAAACAAAGAGAAATCCGAATAACAATAAAATGAGAAGAATTACAGGGTATTTAAAAGAGAATTGATGGAAGATATGCAAATCTTATTTTCTAGTACTTCTATCAATTCTCATGATTATTGCAAGCGTACTTGAGTGATGAGTCACATCTCTTACAAAAAATCAGTTCATGACATCATTGCAGTTAAAACTCATCAGAAACGAATATTTATCATCTTCAAGGAACTGATTTTATTTTATTTATTTATTTAAACACATAGACATTGGTACAAGGAGGCACCAAATATACATGCACCACGTAAATCATTCGATTTGTGTGCGGGCTCTGATACTGCTCGGGTGCCCAGATGGAAGCAGGTGGTTTTATAAGTGGGACACACCCCGAGCCTTTGACCTAGAGGTCTGATCCACATGACAGTGGAGCATCGTGAGGAGATGCAGTCCCATGGTAGACGGTGACCAACGATTGGTTCATACGCCATTTGTTTCCGCAGGATACTGGAGCCCATGTGCAACACTGGTTTGGAATCAGGGTTTTTCAACTCCCCTAGGTGGACTCTACATGTCCACCAACTCGGTTGAAGCACCGGACATTCACTATTCGTCCTCTCAATTTCGTAAACAACACCCTTACCACGAGAAGGCAGTGAGTTGGACTTCCCTGGCAGAGGCTGTATACGCGTGGTCGTGTGAGAGCATTTCGAGAGGAAGGGCGGGCCTACATCACTCTTGGCCATACCAGTGCATTTTGTGAATTTATATTGAGGTTACCCTATCTGAGATCTTATGACTTGACTGTTTTTAAGGAAATTGATTACTTTTGGTATGATAATTGTGAAATTTTAAAGGGAATATTAGTGGAAACAAATCTATCTACCAATCTATCTTATAAGCGGTACTTAACGATGTAAATGCTTGTCTTTTGGAAGTGAATTAAATTTATTTACCATTGCTTAATTAAAAGGTTATTTAACAATGATATCATTAAAACGAATAGAATGTTTAATTTCCAGGAAGTGTGAACTTTCCATTCACCTTTAGGTATGAAACATTAAAATTTAACAGACTATTCATTGAAGTGTAAATCAATAATACCAATTCAATGGTTTCAAAGTTTAACATTCTCCATTGTGTATGACTATCCAATGTTTAAGCATTAGACAATTCCAGTTATGTATATTAACAAGGAAACTCATATTATGACAGAATAGGATAACCAGTATTTCATCTTTAGTTTTATACAAAATACAATTTCTAATTTAGAGTGAAACAATGTTGTTTATTTTTCGAATTGTGCAAAAATGAACAATTCAAATCATCTAAAGAAGTTTCTTAGATGGTGAAGATTTGTAGCTAAGGTAAATTTCTACCTAAAGTTTATGCTGATGATGTCGTTCAGAAGAACGTTGAAAGCTCCACAATCAAATCATCTAGCTCAGAGAACAAAACTCCATAAAAAAAGAAGTTTCTATCTACAAATCTACTTACAGATTTTCACATTTTGATGATCTTTTCGACATTTGCCCACTGCTTAGACTTGGAGGATTAACTGTGAGTGCCGGAACAGTTCGATATTGTGTTTTTGAATCAGTTAAATCATCATTCTCTGCATTTGGAATATCCAATATATCCAGTAGTGCATATAGTGTAGACATTAATATACGAAACTGATACAAATAATAATAACATATAAGTCCATGTTGATTGCAGTAATTATGACTAAATTAATGCATACAATAGTAATATATCTTGTTGAAATAAATTAACAGTTTATTCTAACTCTTATCTATTCAAAAAGCCATACAATCTATGTTATTGCTGTTAGCCTATACCGAATAAAATAGTGAAGGACTAGTGAAAAGCTGAGCTGTATAGCCTTTAACCCACTGTTTGTCAAAGGAGAAAGTATGAACAGAAATACACTTAGCTGTTCATTTAGCCTATTCAATCTCTTGAGTTATTATTCGATACCTAAAATGTCGTTGACAAACTGAGTCGGTATGTTGTGAACGACGACGCAGGTGGGGACAAACAATGTATGTTTAATACAAAATTGTAGAATGTTTTGGTAAAATATAATAACGAAACATTGAAAACTTCATTTGCGAATTTCCATCATTTGTCTTTCACATTTTGGATAATTCTTACCGTCCATAACTAATTTCCATTTTCTCTTCTATTCTCCTCAGCTCGATCATTTTTAGCCTTCTGATGTCAAGTTCTCCAACTCGGATTAGAGTTAGGTAAAACTTATGTCAACAGACATAAGGAGTATAAACCACAAGTATTCCACTTTTGAATATATATGTAAAATCAGTAAGAATGAAACCAATACGTATAATGTATTCTTTTTGATTGAGATGACAAACTGATTGATGATAGACCATCATTGAAGACCTGGAAGCACAGGATAGCCATCTCATCCAATTGTGGGACTACACAGTAGTGCGCATCTACGATTGCGCTCGCGAGATTCGAACCCAGGGCCTTCAGTCTCGTACGTGGACGCTTAAACTCTAGACCACTGAGCCGGCCGACAATCAACGGTGTTAATGTCTAACCTCAATCAATACATTCATTTAAGTTGTGTGATATTGTTATTAGCTTATTTTTATATAATATGTACATACTACTCTAAGATTTTATAATCTATTTAAAATTATGTAAACATTACTTACCTCAGTTATACTGACTTTTTTATCAACAACATGAGGTAGTAGACTTGGAAAAATGTCTGTAACAATCAATTGAGGTTCCAATAAATATGATTTTGTATACAGTAACTGTTTCCAAGCATCTTGTATTTCAAAAAATAAAATAAAAATTTGAAGAAAAAAATGTGTTTTCCACAATGAATGTGTAACCATCAAATATTTGGTAGCAAACAAGTAAACTGTTCAGTAATCTTTTAAACATTCAAACAAGTCATCTGTACTTATCGATACGTTTCAGTTTAAACAGGCAATAACATCATGTGTTAATATCATGTTTTTATTTGGCCGCATACAACCTTCTTACAACTTTATGGTATTACATATAATACTGTGCCAGCCTATCCAAGATAACGAAGATTTAACTAATTTTACATTTGGAAACAATCAAAAATAGAATAACTCTATCCCCCTAATCGGTGTTCATTTACTAATATAACAGCTCTTACATATAATAGAATATATAACGAACTGAGTTCTTTACTAAACATTCGAAAATTTATTTGAGACTGCTTACAGACCTTGATAATGTTTAATGACATTTGAATGTACACTTGTTACATAACGGTAAATCATAAGTATCTATGTCAATAAAACAAATCTAAACGCATTTACGAAATTTGTAGAAAATATCTTACACTGGTCATTTGTATAAGCTTTTGTGAAGTGGGTTTTAGAAGACGTATGTTTCCCTTTTCTAATTGAAACTCCTATAATCCGTCTTGCACTCTCTCTCTCTCTCGTTATTTATTTTTATTTATTTGAACACATAAATATTGGTACAAGAGGGCACCAAATATATACGCGCCACACTTTTGTGTTTGGGTTTTGATACTGCCCGGGTGCCCAGACCGAAACAGGTGGTTTTCGGAGAGGGGGCCACTCCTCGAGCCTTTGACCTAAAGGTCTGACCCACAAGGCAATTGAGATGCAGTCCCATGGTAGCCGGTGACGAACGATTGGTTCATACACCGTTTGTTCACGCAGGATACTGGAGCTCATGTGCAACATTGGTTTGGGATCTGGTTAAAGCGCCGGAAATTCGCCATTCGTCCTCTCATTTTCGTAAACAACACCCCTGGTGTGAGAAAGCAGTGAGTAGGACCTCCCTGGCAGAGGCTGTATACGCGTGGCTATGTGAGAGCATTTCGAGAGGGAGGGAGGGCGGGCCCGCCCCACTCTCGGCCATACCAGGGCATTTGGGGGCAGTCTCTGTCTACATATATATATTCATTTGGGTTCGTATTAACAAGACTGTTGATATCTAGGACATTAATTGATCAATCTTTATCGATATACATAATGATATGCCAAATGAGTATCTACCTGAACTCAATTCCTTAATAGTTGATCCAATTATGTTTTGAGTAATAAATATCAAAAATCACGAATATAAAATAAATCGCTCAACATAATTTCCATTGTCAAACATTAAAACAAGTTTATATTTCAAAATAATATTTATTTTTATTACTGCTATAATAATCACTGAATTTTTAATCAGAAATATGCATGTCGTGTATGCTACTTATATCTGTCGACATAAGTAGTATGTAACACAAATCAAAAATTGGATGGCTAGCAACAAAAGACTAAGAAAATCGAATTAAAGAAAACAGAAAAGAAAATAGAAAGAAATTATGAACTGAAAGAATAATACAGAATGTGAATGATCATTGATGGAAGATTTACAAATAAAACATTTAATGTATGATTCACATATTCTGTGTTACTTCCCAAGAAATAATAATTTAGTTATTCCTATCTGACTTCTCGTTCATTACACGCACACACACACACACACAGACAAACCTTCCATCAATTTATTCACAATAATAATAATAATAATAATAGTAATAATCTAAGCCTAATTAGACATTGATTCATTTATCATGATTTAGTTTCTTTTATCTTTTAATTACTTCAATAAATTAGCAGTTTATTCAAAGAACAAATCAATGAGTTAAAATGAAATGCTGGTTTCCATTCTTTCTCTTTCTCTTGTCTTATTATCTATTCTATACCCCAACCCCCTTTTTTTTCCTTTTGTCTATTAAATGACATCACTAACAAAGACCTAAAAGTCTCCCCCCCCTACCCTTTTTTTCATATCAACCATCATTATGATTTGGACACACATAAGGTAATAATGTAAAATCTGTGTGTATTCTATACTATGAATGCTTGCTTTTTAATGTATCATCTGACTACTGATTAAAAAAAAAGGTATTTCATGTGATTTACTTAATAACGAATTGAATTGAATCATTAAATTTATGCCAAATTTTGACAATCTTACTTATTATATTGGAATAAAATGTTTAATGTCTTGTTTTAATATGAAACAATAACTAGCCTTTATCTATATGTGTTAACAATAGGAAATGATGGGAAGAACTATGTAGAAAGTAAATACGCTCATGGTAACAATCTCTACGAAAGCATTTGAAAATGATCAATATAAGAAAGGGGATCATATAAGTTTGTTGTGAGTATTGACGTTTAGATTCAAATGATATCAATGAAATAAGCTTCATTTTGTGTAAATATATATTATTTACAAAACAACCACGTTGTCTGTTAAATAACGAATACTACAATGTTTACTTATGAGCAATAAAGAATAATGTTGTTTCTTAAATTCACTTGGTATTATTTGGTTGGATCTTCACATTGATGTTTTGGATTGCAATTAATCAGTTTCTTGTTAATATATGTGCATACCGTGTGTATTGCCTTCATATAGCATTATATGCAAAGAAGGATAATGGCTAGCAGTGGAATCCAGTATTTTGGATGTACTTGCACTTCAGAGTTAACTGTTCACTTTGGTTCACCGTTGGTTCCAAGCGCCATAGCGTTATTCAATAAGAGACTGATTAATTGCAGTCCTAAACATCAATAAGAAGATCTAAACAAACAATACTAATTGAATTTAAAACTTCACTCCGTTGCACAAGCAAGTGGCTATCATGACTCAGTAGGTAAGTGGATAACAGGATGGCGTTCGAAGTGAACAAAACTGGGTTCGAGTCTCAGAATGAGCATCAACACTGAGACGCAGGTACATCCATCTAACTAGTCCCAAATAGGACGAAACGGGTGTGCTGTATTGCACTGCTAGTTACTATCCATGTTTGCATAGAATGTTGTTTCTTGTTATTTGTAACAATAATCATAAGACTTTACTTTATACCAGATTGATTTAAGGAATTTGAATTCAATTTAAATCAATGACATCATAAATGAAAAGAACTTATCAGTTAATCAATGATGAAATAATCAAGATCAGTTAACAATATGAATAGAAAGTACTTCATATTAAAAGAGTTCTAACTATTTGGTAACTGGTGACTACCTTCTGAAATAATTCACATAATTTATGAGATAAGTTGATATGAACAGAGAAATAATAAAGTCATGACAAGTAACGAAAGCTATTTCGGGGGAGATGACGTTATTTCACTCAATTTAAAGTTTGTAGAATACTAAGATTTAGTTTTGTCTTTATGTTGTTCTATAAACAATAAGCTTTCGTTTATTATATGATTATCAGAATGGGTTTTGTGGAGATTTTTAGAAATTTCACAAGTTGAAATCATGAGCTAATTGAAGCTAGACCACCATGGAAAACCTGGAAGCACCGGACGGCCATTTCGTCCTAGTATGGGACTCCTCAGCAGTGCGCATCCACGAACCCGCCCCCCGCGGGTTCGTGATCCACTGTCATACTCTTATCTACTCCAAAGCTATTGTCATTTAACCTTTTGTACTTTATTTTTCTATCCTAATTCCCAGTTTAGATATGTGTATTTTTCTTATTGTTTGTGAGTCGTGGTCATGTTAGTCATATATCTCTTTACACTAATCAGAATCGAGAATCAGGACTCATCTTCTGTCTCACATATTCTCTTGTCAAACAATCAGCTAATAGAATAGTTTTCGTTTGCCTAACATGAGCCGTTAGTCTCAGATCGGACTCACACATTTTTAGCCTCAAATCTGAACTAGTTAGCTTAACATGTTAATGCATTAACCTAGATCAATACAAGTTATCTTCTGTACATTAACGGGTAGACATATCAAGAACTTATTACACGTAATCGGAAGATTTCAACCATGTTCGAAGTTAGGAATTTATTGATTATCAGAAAAAGCTTATGGAAATTTTAGAGATTTCACAGAATGAAATCATGAGTCAATTAAAGCTAGACCACCATGCGGGATCGTGGATGCGCACTGCTGAGGAGTCCAACACTAGGACGAAACGGCCGTCCAGTGCTTCCAGGTTTTCCATGGTGGTCTAGCTTCAATTGACTCATGATTTCATTCTGTGAAATTTATTGATTATTATTTAGGATAGTAGATAAAATATCAGAATTTGAAGCAACACATCTTGGATTTAAGTCTTGATTTGCTTATCAGCACTAAAATTTAGCTGATGAGCCTGAAATGGAACAAAATATGCTCCTTAGATTTCACTGTTATAAACAATCCAAATGGATTATGTTATCGAGATCAAAGACTACATCAAAACAATTGCTCATAGTAAACAAATAGCAACAAAGACTAATTCATTAGGAGGCTTGATAATAAATATGATAGAATAAAAACGTTAACTAATGAACGAATTACTACAGGTAAACTTACTGCATAATTCAGAAATCGGTTGTTCAACACGATTACTCTGTGTTTGATCATGTTCATCATTAACTTTATCATCGACAATATCTATATTGAAATCATGGGCGCATTCATTAGCTGACTTATTATTGTTTATATTTAACTTGAGTTCATTTGAAACAGTCAAAAGAAATGGTATTACATCATTCAGAATAATTGCATCTGATAAACGTGTTAGTATAGTGACTAAACAATGTAATGAAGCTAACTAAAGAATAGAAAATAGGAAATGAAATTAATAACATACAGTACGTGGATACATTTACATGTAGATAAATATACTATCAGACATTTCTAATTAACAAAACGGTATTAATTTTCGTTAAACTACCTTTAGTGAACTGTCAATAAAGCGTCGTTTATGTGATATCCAGCCCTCAAATGCCCTAGTACGGCTGAGAGTAGGGAGAGTCCGCTCTCCCTCTCGAAATGCTCTCACATGGCCACGCGAATGTAGCCTCTGCCAAGGAAGTCCTACTCACTGACTTCTCGCACCACGGGTGTTGTTTACGAAAGTGAGAGGACGAAAAGTGATTGTTCGGTGCTTTAACCGGGTTGGTAGACATTGAGTGTTCACCGAGGGAAGTTGGAAATCCCTGATTCCAAACCAATGTTGCACATGGGCTCCAGTATCCTGCGGGAACAAACGGCGTATGAACCAATAGTTGGTCACTGGCTACCATGGGACTGCATCTCCTAACATTGCTCCACTGTCTTGTGGATTACACCTTCAGGTCGACAGCCCCGGATGTGGTCCCTTAATAAAACCACCTTCTTTGATGTGGGTATCGAGGCAGTATTACATCCCACACACAAATCAAGTGACTTATGTGGCACATATCTATTTGTTGACTCCTTGTACCAATGTTTATATGCTAAAATAAATAAATAATATCCAGTCACTTTGACTAGTTAACGTAATACAACATGATCGGTAAAATTCGACCACAAATGAGATATATATATATACTCCTGATATTGAATAGTCATTTTAATGTAACAGATTAAATCAGCTGTCAACTATTTTTTGAAAGGTGGTGGATTAATTTAACATGCAGAATTGATTGGTTTGTTCGTTATGCTAAATAGTGACGAATATTACATTAGTCAATTTTATAGTACTCATTAGATTCTATCGATCAAGTTGCTATATGGCTGCAAGTTTAGACTTCCTGAGATCATGTAGTTGGAAGTAGTCAACATAAGACACTTATATTCTTAAAGAAACTGATATTCAGTTAGAATTGAAACCTACATCATACAACTTTATAATTTGAAGCGTTACAACTAATCTACTTGAGCTTCATCTAACCTCGATCGAACTAAGATACTAACATTAACTCACCCTTAAATAGTCACTATTGCTATATTCACATAAACCTTAGTACTAATCGATTTCTATCAATTGAATTGAATTTAATCTTTTCCCTCTAGACTGCTAGTATGGTTCCTGATAAAAGGTAATTAGCTTAAAATCTAAGTTCAGAGTTTCCTGTTGATCGACATTAGCAACCGAATATTGATTTATTTCATTTATAACAATCACAAAGTCGTTTCCTAATATGAACATAATGATAGAGATAGATAGAAAATTTATTATAATCAAACAAATTATGTACTTTCATAAAACTTCCGTTTTAATGGTGTCTATCTATTTATAATGAAGTTTGTGTTTGTATGTGAAATGTTTTTTTTCTAATCAGATTACCATGACAAATAATGAGAAATAACTTAACCCCTTCTAGTAATAATCATCTGCTCACTAGTGACTGACTTCAAGAGACACTCCTGGAGTTCTAGTGAGAAGCCATTACCAGTGGAGCTTAACCAGGTCTGTTGTGAGACAGCAAATCACTGAAGATAATAGTGTACGGTAGAGCAACTTCGTGGATTGGTTGAAGTTAAACATTAACACCGTTGGATGCCAGCCAGCTAAGTTGTCCAGTTGGTTAAACGCCTGCCGCGAGACTGATAGGTTCTGGGTTCGAATCCTCCGGGGTGTGGGATCCTGGATGCGCACTGCTGAGGAGTCCAACACTAGGACGAAACGGCCGTCCAGTGCTTCCAGGTTTTCCATGTTGGTCTAGCTTTGATTGACTCATGATTTCAATTAGTGAAATTTCTGAAATCTCCACAAAAACCCCTTCTGACTGTTTTTAATCTGTTTTTTGGTTGAAATCATGAATTGGTTGATGTTAGATTATCATTAAAAATCTAGAAGCACTGGATGATCAAGTATTGGCCTTAAAATGATTTCTTGAATTTCTAGTGAGAAGCTGTGACTTGTTAGTGTAGTCCACGTAGAGACAGGTATCTACCTTGGACAGTGGATGGAAGTTAGATATTAACACCATTGGATGCCAGGACAGTGATCTGGAGGTTAAACGTTCGCGTGCAAGACCGAAAGTCGCGAGTTCCAATCCCGCTTACAAGATCGTGGTAGTCCCATATTAGGATTAAATGGCTGTCCAATGCGTTTAAATGTTTAATGGTGGTCTAACATCAATCGATTCATGATCTCAATCAAAAGCTTAACAATCTCCACACTCATACTGATAATGATTTGTAATTATCACATGAAATATTATTCAACAATAACTAAAATCTCATACTGCTTAATTTAATTACTTAAAACGTATACCCGTTGAAATGGAATTCAACATTAACACAAATACTCAATAGTTGAGTACATTTAAATAATTCTATAAACAAAAAAGAATCTAAATTCACATGGTATTGTCTACTTGAATTTTCCCATTAATGTGTTTTAAGACTGGAATTGTTCAGTTTGTTATTGACATATGTGCATACTGAGCGTATTGCTTCGATATTACCTTAATTCATAAGCATTATAAGCAGAGATGGATAATGGCTAGCAGTAGAACACGCGTTTTGTCCTGTTTGCGACTCGCCAGCTGGATGCAAAGGATGCACATATGCCAATAAAAGAATGATCTATTTCAGTCCTAAAAGCATCAATGGGTTGATGCAAGTAAACAATACCAGGTGGATTTAAACTTCACTTCATTGCATAAGCTAATGGTTATCAGAACTCAATAGTTAAGTAGATAACGTATTAGCATTTGAAGCGAATATTACCGGATTCGAGTTGTGGAGTGAATATCAACTCTGAGATTCAGATACATCCAGCTGACAAGTCCCAAATAGAACGAAACTCATGTCTTGCATTCCACTGCTGTCCATTATCCATCTTTGCTTAGAAAAGAATTTAATTCAACTTATTGAAAATATTCATCACAGAAGTATTTTGATTTGATTAATTTCGTAGTTCAATTTGGAATTGAACTGAACTAAAACTAGGCTCAGTTATACTGACATTTTAGCAATATAAAATATTTAATTGTATTCCTTTTTATAATTATGATCTTGTAAAAGACCAGGACGAAACGGCCGTCCAGTGCTTCCAGGTTCTCAGTGTTGGTCTAACATCATTCGGTTCATGATCTCAATTAAAAATATTCGTTTTCACTTGTTAAATTGTTTAAATATATTTAGCCATTGAATGATTGTGGCAATTTCGAATACGACACTTATTTAAGGAATAGTGTACTGTTGTAGTTATTAAACTGAATATTATGAAATCTTAACTACTTTTGAGTATTATTTAATGTGTAAAATGAAAACCTAGAAGCACAGGACGATTGTTTCATACAAATCACATTCTGTTTCCACTCTTCACTGTTCGATCCTCTTGTCTCTCTAATGCCAGACATTCTGTTCCTGACTAACGTCATACACTACTTATTTCGATATAAGTAGCACACACAACACTACAACTTCTGTTCATCCTCATTACAATTCAAAACAATATTTCACTGTATTTCCTATTTAATTATTGAACTTAGAAAAATAAAACACAGACAGACAAAATCGTTTAAAGTTTTAGCATAAAGCAAGAACTATCATCTAATGATGTTATATACCTTGTATATACTAAAGGTTTTAGAGTCAAGCGTTACCCTAGTCATCAATTCTAAACAAAGTAACAACATTTATTTATATTTCTCAGGTTTTGTTTTATGAATTTCATCAAAGTAAACAATTACTTACAAATAAAAAGTTATCAGAAGGGGTTTAGTCGAGATTTTAGAAATCATGAGTCAATTGAAGCTTGAATACCATGGAAAACCTCGAAGCACCGGACGACCGTTTCGTCCTAGTATGAGATTCCTCAGCAGTGCGAATCCACGATCCCTCATCCCGCGAGATTCGAACCCATGACCCATCAGTCTCGCGCGTGAGTGTTTTACCATTAGGCCACTGAGCTGGCCGGCATCCATCGGTGTTAATGTCTAACTTCAACCAATCCACGAAGTTGCGCCACCGTACACCATCGTCTTCAGTGGGTGGTTTTCCCTGGTGGTCAAACTTCAATTGACTCATGATTTTAATCAGTGAAATAACAAGTTGTTATGTGCTCAACATTATGTTGATAATCGATCATTTCTACTAACCTGTAACTGTTGATGATTATATTGAAAAGCTTGTTTAATTTTCTGTAATACAATAATCTCCAAATCTGAAGATGAAATATATCCAACTAACAATTCTAAATTGTTTAATGCAACAATCTATAATACAAGAATAATAATAATAATAATAATAATAATAATAATAATAGTAATAATAATAATGGTAAAATATTAGTTATCATTGTAGATACAATTTGTTATTCATCTTTATCAATGTACATAAATTGGATCAGAAAATAAAAACTATGGCTAAGGATAAATTTCATGCTGTCAAGGTATCTATGTATATTGTAGTTAGTGATTACAGTTATGCTTTTGATGAATTAGTTACTCAACTGTAGATATATTGAAATAATTTCTATCATGGAATTAATTGAAGATATGATTTTTGCTATGTTGTAATACGGCCGACTGCGCTACACTTAACACGTCCTTAGCATGGTGAAGTAGAATTTGTCGTCGCAAAAAATTTGAGATTTTTTTTAAATGTACATCAATAAAAACAACACAGAACAACACAAACTCTCCAGAATAGATTACAATAATGTAAATAATAATCCCCCCTTCATTTTGGTAGGTTGCCAAGTACTAAGTCATAATAAAGAACGAGAATGGAATTTATCCTTACCCGTTTTTTCTGTAAGACTTATACTCAACCTTTGATCAGATTGATTTATGTTGAGTTATATCTACTTAGTTTATGTTAATGATAAAAAATTATAACTTTATAAAATTCTAGTGAAAAGCTGTGACCAGTGGAGCTAATCCGTATTGGGTAGAGACAGGTATCTATCTCTGATAATGGAAAATTGTATTGCAGTTTTTTTGACTGATTGAAGTTTGCTCACGCTAAAATGGTCTTGGTTTCCAACTCTGCTTGTCAGATTGCATATGCGCACTTCTTAAGAGTCCTATACTAGGACAGAACGGTCGTTCATTGTTTCAACATCGGTTTAACATTGATCGACTCATGATCTCAATCAAAAACATAATAATCTTCACAACCCCATTACTGAAAGTTATTTCAATCAGATTATAAGAGATCATTTCGTTCGATTGAATGTATATTCATTATAATTTTTACATTTAATAATAAGCGTGTGAACTTGTTATTTCATTAATCAGGGAAATTCATTTTCCGTTTTAAGTACCTAATTAGTTTATGAAGATCAAAGTTATTCCTACGTATGTTAATTGGACCTCCAACCGACGATAGACGTTTTCAACTAAATTTCGACTTGTTAACCAAAATTGGACAACAGTTAAGCGTTGATATTCATACAGTCTAAACAAACTCAATAACAGTTTCGTCCAATTGCAGTTCATTTTATTAGCATTTTATAAAAAGTGTGATCCATTTCTGATCAAACTAGAATAAATAAGAAATTGGTGACAGGTACTGTGAATCATTGAAAATGTAGTGCATGGTACAGTCTATGCATACTTCATTCAGTCAAGTGTCTACTAATCGAACCTTAGAGCATAAAGATTGTCTTAGCCAAAGATAAAGTACAATGAACCAGATATGCTTTTTGATAAAGAAAAAGTATATCAACATAATCAATCTATTAGGTATACAAACGAAGGCCATCAAAGTTTCGTTCTGTGAAATTAATGGCAAATCAATCTTTTGCTTTTAAATATATTATTGATTGTATATTCATCTTGAACGTTCTCCTAAGATTGTTCAAACCAATTAAATTCTTTAGCTCCTGTTCATCATCTGGGTATTACATCAGTTGGCGTAGATTTGGACAAATCATACATAGTTAACTTTATTATTAGTGTAAGGAGTTTGTCTAGATTGTTGAATTTAATGATTTGCATTCTAAACAGGATTTATTCAAACCACTGTTTAAAATCAAAAGGTATTAGATAGATATTTCGTTCTGTTATAGAAGTCTACAATATTGAAAATCACCTATTCCACTAAAGATCAAACTCAGGATATTAACGTCCTGTAGTAAGTGCGAGATCTCAAGACCACTCAACCGGATTTTAAGAGTTTTGATATCTGGCCTCGGTCGATTCAAAACATTGTGCAACTGTTTCACGATCGATATATTTGAACTACACTGTTTAAAACCTACCACTAGAATTTCTGAATTATTTGCTCGAAACAAGCAACTAGAGAGTTCATGAAGATTGTAAGGTCCAACTTTGGGTGGCTTCATGGATGTATACAACTAAGAAGTCCCATACTAGGAAAATAAACGTCTCTTAGTTGCTTGTAGTCTTAAATAAATGTCTAACCTAGGTTGATTCATAACATCAATAACATTTTTCATTATCAAGCGTTTAGAAAAACAAAAGACGTATTCTCACCTTGTTTTCACCATCTAATTATTTTGATCGAGTTTTGCTCTCCGAGCTGGATGGTTTGATTGTGGAGCTTTCATCGTTATTTTGAACGACAACATCAACACAAACTTTCAGTGGAAGTGAAATGTTCAATTTTCTCTATATATGATTCATAGTTTATCCTGTAGACCTTGATGTTGATTGATTATTGTCGACATTAAACCTGTCATTGTTTACTTCTTTATTTTAGTTGTATTTCCTATTAATTTGATATTTGGTCATATAGTTGTCCATGACCAAACCATTCAGCTCAGAGAACAAAAATTCATCAAAATCATCCACCTGAGCTATAAATCTTCTCCACCATCTTAATATTTAATTATCCTTTTAGTGGTTAAACGGTCACGCGCAAGACTGATAAGTCTTAGGTTCGAATCTCGCGGGGTGGGATCGTGGATGCACACTCCTGAGGAGTCCTACTATGGGATGAAGTAACCATTCAATACTTCCAGGTTTTCCTTGGTGATCTAACTTCAATTAATTCATGATCTCAACCATTGAAATTACTATAATCTCCACAAAAACCTTTCTGATATTTTTATATCACTTTATTTAATGATTTATCCTACCTTCTATCCTTTATCAAATTAAGCCCAACTTTGTATTATTCTATTCGTAGTCTTAGACTCATTACTTTATTACAGAACATCATATTTCACTTATACTTCATCAGTATATTCAAAGAAACATTAATTAGCAACAAAAAGGTAAAAGAAAAAAACAACAACAACAAATAAGAATTCACTTCATTTATTCTTTCCAATTATTTTCAAGTTGTTATTTTCAATTAAATTGACTTTCATGCAAACAAATTAACCATTTTGTTTATCTTTAATCATCAATCTATGTATTTGTGTTTTATACACTTCACTGATTATGATTATGCTTATTGTTTTCAGATGTTACAACATTTTTTTGGATAATTTTTTCTGGTTTGCGTTTTTTTAGCGAGATGGGATGGGGACGCTAACCGCATGCCCAACCTTCCTCCTTTATTCGGGCTTAGGACCGGCAGTAGCCCTCAAAGGTCCTCCAAGTGGAGTTAGATGTTACAACAAAGAATGGACTTATTAGAAGAGGGTTTTATAGAGATTTTATTAATCGAATAGTTTTGTTCATGAGTCAATTAAAGCTAGACCATCATGGATAACTTAGAAACACTAAACAACCGTTTCGTCCCAGTATGGGACTCCTCAGCGGCGCGCAGTACGAGAGGGATTTTGGATGCACAATGTTGAAGAGTGCCGTATTAGGATGAAGTGGCTGTTCAGGGAGAAATAAACTTATTTTGATTATTGTATGATAGAAATATAGTGTAAATCAAAATTACCTGAGCTGTAATATTATTTGATACTAAACATTGTTTCATTAATGGTAAAATATACTGTTCAATTACATTGTCTGGAACTTGTCTTAAAAATGATCGTGTATGACGTACTAAACACATTTTTGTCTAAAATGTAGAAAGCAATACAATAGGAGATTAATACAACGAATTGATACATAATAAATGTTATATACATAATATAAGCTTTTATGGTAGGGAGGGATTACAAAACTGTGTGAAGGATTAAGATTATGCTTTTCAACTGATAGCTACGGGTTAGAAACTTTAAAGTTTGTGCTGATGAAGTCGTTCAGAAGAATGATGAAATCTCCACAACCAGACTATCCATGGGGTTAGAGACCCTATCCTGTAGAAAACTAACTCGCTAAAAAAACGCTAAAAACGCTGACCCTTCAGTAGCGATCTGAACTCAGTAGCTTAATGAATAAATGAATAGCATTTGAAGTAAAAGTTAACAGATTCAAGTTGTAATAAAAACAATTAACAATGAGATTCTGATGCATTTAGTTAATGAAATATAAATAGAATATAACTTGTGTCCAGATATCTACCGCTTCATACATGATATGAACTCGGAAAATTTAAAATCCGGATATCAACTTCGGATCTTCAAAAAAAGGGGAGGTGATATGATGGAAAGAAAAGTCAATTTTCGATTGATTTACTCATTATGAGTTTCGTTCAACATTACTTCCCTTTTTATTCAATGTGATGCGTCACAAGACAAGCCCTCACATGGAATCCTCAAGGTCAAAGGAAAAGAGGAAGACCAAAGAAAACATTACACTGGGAAATGGAAATAGACATGAGAAAAATGAACAAGAATTGGATGGAACTAGAAAAGAAGGCCCAGGACAGAGTGGGTTGGAGAATGCTGATCTGCGGCGTATGCTCCATTAGGAGTAACAGGCGTAAATAATAAATAATAAATAATAAATAATAAATGTAATGATCATTCAGTGTTTATTGTTTTCCCAGTATGATATTTTGATCTTGCATTCACGTGACATGAACTATGCTCAGTAAGTGATTTGTTATAACTGAGTATGTGATCTAATCCTAATTATTAATCAAAATGGGTGTACAGTCAATATATAAACCAGTTTATTCTAGACTGTTGTGATTCATTCATTCATTATTATTATTATTATTATTATTATTATTATTATTATCATCGTCATAGTGTTTGGGGCTAGTAAATGTTCATTTATATCAGTCATGTGTTTTTACTTTCGCATCGTGGGAATTGCCGATGTCCCTCGCTCCGAATATAAGTGATCAGTGTTTCCTTTCCGGCACAACAACTGCGATGACCGAATATAACAATACATTTGTACTTATCACTTTTGATGATTAGTATTATGGAACTATTTAAGTAAATCTGTACTAAAATCAATGCAACATTCACCAATGACAATTAAGACTTACTTTCAAATTTGAACTTTTATCAAAGATATTCATTAAATCTTTCTCAATATAATCTGTATAATCCATTGAAGAGCAAACTTCAATTAAATGAGCTAAACCAGAAATTAATAATGAATCTAAATGAATACAAATATCTTCATGTGATACTTGTGATACAGAGTAATGAGATGTTAACATTGTTGTATTGTAATCATTGGATTGTTTATTAAATTGTCTTGTTTCTAGTTGTTGATGTAATTCAATCAATGTAGGCATTATTCGACCATAAAGAATTGGCTGTTATAAGGTTAATTCAAGATAAAAAACACCAAGTAATATATATTAAGCAATCTATTGTATACATTGTTTTTTACATATGACTACTAATAAATATACATTTTGATGAAAGGTTGTTTTCAACATTTGACTGTCTATGATCACAAATAATTAACAGAAAGAAATATATAGAACCCTGAATAAACTGAGAAGCTGAATGGAAGTAATCGACATGAAACTCTGAACCTAGGTCTTATACTATTTGGCACTCGTCAGCAAGGTGCACCAGTAATGTCATCAAGGGAACTGATGTTCCCTAACAGATCCAATCCCGTGTCATTTAGCTTCACGATTAGAGATGCGACTGATCTCTTTTATGACTGACATATATATTTACAATAAACTGATCATTGGGTAATGACCAATGTCATCAATATTAGGTGATATTATATAATATTATAATAGTATGAATATTTTCTAATCTAAAACGAAATAACATAAGTATTAGAAAGTATAACTCATTGGGTTCATAATTCTCCTCAATTACATATTAATTCTCTTATTTAGAACCTTTGTAACTAAAACATTCTCTTTAAATTATCAACTACCATGAATTGATCAGTTTCTTACTTTACGTACCCAGCAACGAATAATTCTCACGTATCATTTTATTTGAGAATCGTTAGCTGAATATATCTTAGTATTATTGTTAATGATTTGACTGAAATTTGAACAAGAGCCAGATGCTATAAACGTTAATATGTTCTTACGTACGATATTAAGTCCCAGATGTATTACACTATTAGTTCAAAACCATACTTAATTAATTACCTACTTACTTACTTACTTGCGCCTGTTACTCCTCGTAAAGGAACATGGGCCGCCCACCAGCATTCTCCATCCAACCCAGTCCTGGGCAATTCTTTCCAGCTCCTTCCAGTTGTTATTTATCCGTTCAATATCTCCTTTTATTTCTGGACGGAATGTGTTCTTTGAACTCCCTCTTTTCCACTTCTCTTCAGGATTCCAAGTTAACGCTTGCCTCGTGATGCAGTTTGATGATTTCCGTGATGTATGTCCTATTCATTTCCATCGTCTTTCCCTAATTTCCTCTTCACCTAGAACCTGGTTTGTTTTCTCCCACAGTAGGCTGTTACTGATGGTATCCGACCAATGAATGTTGAATATCTTGTGTAGACGGCTATTTATAAATACGTGTACCTTCTTGACAGTGGTTGTAGTTGTCCTCCAAGTTTTAACTCCGTACAGCAGGACTCTGTTGACATTCATATTGAAGATTGTGATTTTGATATTGGTTGACAGTTGTTTCAAGTTCCATATATTCTTCAAATGTAGGAATACTATCCTTGCTTTGTCAATCCTTGCCTTTACGTGAGCATCAGATCTTCCTTGTTCATCGATGATGCTTCCCAGGTACGTGAAGGATGTCACATCTTCTAGACTTTCACCATCAAGTGTGATTGCGTCGGTGTTCTCCGTGTTGTATTTGAGGACCTTGGTTTTCCCGTTGTGTGTTTTGAGGCCTATTGATGCAGAGACTTCTGCTACACTGGCTGTCTTTATCTGCATTTAGTTCAAAACTATACTATACTATAATATAGATACTGATAAAACTTAATCCTTTATGTTAAACACTATAATCAATCATAATATAAACTCTATTAAAAGTAAATTAATTCAACAATAGATTAATAAAATAATGGGCAAGACCATAATTTATGGACAAACCAATCATGTTTAAGATGATAGGTCTTGGATTTTGACGCGATATTCATTCATCCATTCGGATAAATAGAGTCTTGGCATTATAGTTGATGTCAGTTCGTGATGAATAACCGAAATCGAATTCCTAAGTTTAATCATCAACTGTATATTATAATTGTAATTTCTCACACAAGTTCATAAACCTCATTTAGTCCTGAATGTTAAATGGACACTTTCAAAGTCAGTCTAACGTTACTCAAACGTCGTCCATAAATTATAGTTTCATTATAAACACGATTTTACTAAACATACTTTTGATAAATTTTCTGCATTATTTTGTAAAATTTGTAATGCTCTTGTTCTATCTTCATCAGATTTCACCTCGAAATTAATAATTCCATCTAATAGTAACATTGTAGGATCGTTGAAAAATTTCAGCTAGAAATGAATAATAAAATTGATAATAATTATATTGGAATTGGTTAACTTATGATTAGTTGAAAGATATCCACTGGAACAATCCAAGTCGGGTAGAGACAGGTATCTACCTCAGTACAACGTAAGTTGGTCGCGTAATTTTGTGGATTGGTTGAGGCTAGACACTATCACCATTGGATGCCGGCCAGCTCAGTGGTCCAGTTGGTTGAGCGTTCGTGCGCGAGACCGAAGGCCCTGGCTTCGAATCCCACGAGCGGGATCGTGGGTGCGCACTGCTGAGGAGTCCCACAATAGGACGAAACGGCCGTCCAGTGCTTCCAGGTTTTCAACTGTGGTGGTCTAACATCAATCAATTCATGATCTCAATCAAAAATCTTTAAAGAATAAGGATACAATAGGTAGATACTTTGTAAAGATTCATTGAGTAGAACTAGTCACTATACATCAACTTCATTGACTATGAAAAAATGTTTGACAATGTGGACAGGAGAACATTATAGAAAGGTCTTAGACACTATGGAGATCATACGACGGACTAAAGTGCAAAGTCATGCATGGAAGACAGCTGACAGATGCAATCGAAGTAAGGATTGGAGTCAGACAAGGCTGTCGACTCTACGCCTCCTTTTTCTTCTAGTGGTTGACTGAATTATGAAGACCTGGACATCTGAGGGAAAGCACAGAAAACAATGAACAGCTCAGAATCAAACTGAAGATTTGAACTTCACAGATGATATAGTCCTACTATTCCATACACACGAACTAATGTAGATGGAAACAACTAGTGTAGCAGCGGCCTCTGAATTAGTAGGTCTCAACATACACAAGGAAGAAAATCAAGAGCCCCAAATACAACAAACAGAACACCGACGCAATCACACTTGATGGTGAAAGTCTAGAAGATGTGACATCCTTCACGTACCTGGGAAGCATCATCGATGAACAAGGAAGATCTGATGCTCACGTAAAGGCAAGGATTGACAAAGCAAGGATAGCATTCCTACATTTGAAGAATATATGGAACTTGAAACAACTGTCAACCAATATCAAAATCACAATCTTCAATATGAACGTCAACAGAGTCCTGCTGTACGGAGTTAAAACTTGGAGGACAACTACAACCACTGTCAAGAAGGTACACGTATTTATAAATAGCCGTCTACACAAGATATTCAACATTCATTGGTCGGATACCATCAGTAACAGCCTACTGTGGGAGAAAACAAACCAGGTTCTAGGTGAAGAGGAAATTAGGGAAAGACGATGGAAATGAATAGGACATACATCACGGAAATCATCAAACTGCATCACGAGGCAAGCGTTAACTTGGAATCCTGAAGAGAAGTGGAAAAGAGGGAGTTCAAAGAACACATTCCGTCCAGAAATAGAAGCAGTTATGAGAAAGATGAACAACAATTGGATCGAATTAAAAAAGAAGGTCCAGGACAGGGTTGGATTGACAGTGCTATTATGTGGCCTATGCTACATTGGGGGTAAGAGACGTACGTAAGTAGGTAAGTAAGTAATAGTCTGATATTCTATACATCTGTAACCAAATGAGCTTCTAAACCTAAGTTGTATAGAATAATGCAATGTACTAAGAATATCCTTCTACTATTCTGGTAAGTATGTGTTGAACCAGTGAATAATATTGTCTAACCGCTTGTTCACTTATCGTGTACAGTAGATGAACTAGTGAATTTACAATTAGTCAAGTAAAAGAAACATTCAGTACATTGAATTATACAATGATTTCACTGGTCTGGCAGCAGATATATTTTCTTGATAGAAATTTTTATCAAAATAGAAGAAACATCTTAAATCCACTTAATATTATGTGTACTTAATAGTACCATATAGGACACTGATTTATGAAATCAAACTTTGAACATGTTCACTGTATCGAATTATGTTTTAACCTTATACTCCACTATTGTTCTCTATTGTACTTGATATGTCCAGTAAACAAATTAACTATGATTAAAAATACGTTGACAATAATCCCTTTGAAATACTCATTTATAACGGAACACTAGTTTGATCTCTATTTCTATGGTTTAAGATAAACACAAATATTTTATTGGTTCAGAGAACAGCAACTAAGTTGATCCCCGGAATAGCAAAGCCCCTGTGTGATACACGACTGGCCAAGCTAAACCTTTCCCGTTATCATATCGAAGAACTAGCGGTGACTTGATTACAGTTTTAAATTTCTTAGTAACAAATTTGCACTTGATATGTCCTCATTTTTCTTGTCTTCCAAAACAGAGAATTTACGAGGACACTCCAAAAAAGAGTTCACAAGCCCAGTACAAATTAGTTGTCAGCTGGCTATTGACTTTCCCATTGAATCATTAACGAGTGAAGTTCATTACCTCAGCACGTAGTTGAGGCTCCATCTCTCGATTCTTTCAAAAGAAAGTTGGATTAACTGTGAGACCATCATTGTCAGGACTAATACAGGCCATCAAGCCTCCTGACCTTTCCGAACTGAAACTGAAGAAATCAAACTTTTCAACTGTACATTTTACTATTGTCAATGTATGATCTCCACAAACAATAATCAATATTTAGTGAATATCTAATCTTCATTATGGAAGTAATTATAATCAAATAATTATGATCAAAAAATATTCTTTGAAGCAAATAACTCTTAACAATATCGAATGAAGCAATATTCATATTTATCATCCGTTGAATATCGGTGAAATGATCGACCAAATATTGTCTACAGAATTAGTCAAGTGCAACAATATCTTTTTATATGTGTCATAATCATATGAAAATTTCAACCTTCTTGTTACTATTCAGATTTTATTTGCTCTTCATCTTCAGTAATTTTATTATCTTTCATGAAGTTTTCATTATATCGATTAACCTATAACCTTCTTTGAACAAAATAATCGTTGAGTACGGCAGAAAACTGGATGACTGCATCATTCCATTATGAGATATGTTAATAATAATTGTGATGAAATCTAAAACACTCCAACCTTAATGTGAAGACCATACACTCAAATCATCAGGTTGAAGTTCACTTATTTAAGACAAAAAAGAATTATATAATAAGCAAAGGTGGATAGTGGCTAGCAATGGAATCCAGGACGTGCGTTTCGACCTACTCGTCAGCTGAATGTACCTGCATATCAGAGTTGATGTTGACAAAACGCGCCTCCTGGATTCCAATGCTAGCCACTATCCATCTTTGTTTAAAAAGCTTGTGATTTAAAGCTACATGAAGGCAATCCGCACAGGATGCACATATGCCAACATGAGACTGATCAATTGCAGTCTTAAATAACATTTGGAATATACAAATAAAACAACATCAAGTGAATTACATAATAGTAGAAAATTTTCATTTAAAAAAAGAAACATACTAAAGCAAATAATTGAGAACTAGGTCTCTTTTGTGAATTCCTTGATAGTAATTTTTCCACAGGTTCAACTAATTCTAAAGGCATACGACATACTGACAATCGAAATGCTTCAGGTATCTAATAAAATAAATAAAATCATGCTTATATAAAGAATAAGCAAATATGTTAAATTATTCTATATAAATATATATTAAATGACAATAGAAATAATTGTCTTATGATAGAATGTGCAGTTCTGAAGAGTCCCATACTGGGACGAAACAGCCATCCAATGCTTCCAGGTTTTCCATGATGGTCACGTTTCAATTCAATTCATGAATTCAATTATAGAATATTTATTTTATCAACTGGATAAAGTGAGATTATTATGATTGATAAGCGTGTAATTTCTAATGTAATCATGTGTATAGTATAACATGTGATAATGAATAATTAATTTTCCTTATGTAATTATAATATCACATGTAATAGGAAAGTACGTAGATATTTCTGGACAATTGTTACCATGGCAATAAAACAACAATAATTCCTTGATCATACAATGTAAGCTGTCAAGCAACAACAACAAGAACAGAAAGCAGAAGACATTATACTTCATTGTTAAATTTCAGAAACCTTATATATGACTTGGATATGTTCTTGACTCCTAATACTTAATGAGTACACACTTGAGCATAATGAACAATGTGTCATTGAATTCATAACGAAATTTATTAAATGTATATTCTGGTTTTATATAGCTTGTGAATATTTCAAAGTTAGATATTGACACCGTTGGATGTCGACCAGTTCAGTGGTCTAGTGGTTAAGCGATGGCGCGCAAGACTGGTAGGTCTTTGTTGGGGTGATCCAGAAAATTGCTTGCAAAAGACAAGCAAGCATCAGAAAATACTAAAAAGCGTTTCATCCAATCAGCATTCAATTGAAGTCTTAGCCAAAAATATCAAGGAAGCGAAACGTCACATGCAGAGGCTCTGATTGACTGGCTGCTACACTGCTACTATGTTTAGTAGCATTCCAGAATCTTCTAGCAACCCAAAGACATTTAAAATATTATAAAAACTCTGTATTTTCTGTATTAAAATGAACCTTGGAGTAAACTACTTCTCGCATAGTTTGCGTCTTCTCTCTCGTGTTCAAGTCACTGTATAGTTTTAGCTTGGGAGTAACAGAATAGCTTAGGAGACGAATATAGTGTTCAGTCTCCCAAGACTTATCTGTGTTGGGTTTGAATCTCGCAAGGCGGGACCGTGGATGCTCATTGTTAAGGAGTCATACAATAGGACGAAACGGTCATCTAGTGCTTCCAGGTATTTTATGGTTGTCTAACTTCAATTGATTCATTAATTCAACTATTAAAAGAAAATACTATTCAAATCAATTAGTTTAATATAAAATCTTACATCTGTACTTTGACTTAATTGAACTGCATGAAGATATTCTGTACTAGTTTCTTGTATAGTATTTTCTTTACAATTTACAAATGATATCTCTGTATTCGTATATGAATCATTATCAAATCCACGTTTTTTTATATTTTGTAACCATTGAACTGATCCTTCAGCTGGACTATTATTTGTATATAATGCACAAATAATTAAACCTAATGAAAACATATCTGACCATGGTCCAGGTATATCATGAGATAAATTAGATCGAGATTTCATTGTTGATGTTACTGTTGATGTTATTGTTGTTTCTATTGTATGATCTGGACTATTTCTATTAGTTAAATGATATAAATCTGTAGATGTTTTAGTAAGAAATCCAGCAAATGAACTTGATATATTATTATTATTTGTTAGATTCAAACATTCTGGTGCTGAATAATGATAATCTGGTCTAGCCATTTTTGGCCATTTTCTTGTCCATGGTGATGGACCTAATTCATACTTTGTTAAATAGGAAAAAAGAAAGAAAGAAGAACCAAAATATAAAAACAACATCGTATAGTCGAACGAAGTTGTCTGACGGCAAAGAAAATTAAGTTTCTATGTAATCAAAGCTTCATATTATCACTGACTAAATTCACTTTTGATCAACGTTGTAACAGCTTTATATTTTAATCTAAACACTGATTGATTTTTAGAAAGGCAACTTATGATTTTCAATTAAAACTATCTCTATTGGCTTTATATCACAACACAAGTGATATAAAGCCAATTAGAATAGTGACTGAATTACACTTTGATCAGTAATAAGCATTAGATAAGTTTTCCATTGCTTACTACTCAATGGTAAGTCAATATAAATGTAACGGCTTATATTTGATCTAAGATAGCTATAAACTATCAGTTAAGACTATGATCTAGTCAGTGAATCAACTCTATAATTTTGACAAAGTTAATGTTCTACATGTGATCGGTAATAGTATTCAATATATATCTCACAAGTGACTAATTCTTTTCTGGAACCGAGCTACTATCATTAAATGTAAACAAATGTAATGCATATCTGGTGTTTAGTTCTGATTAAATTCTAATGATCTAATGCACATACATATTGCTTTAAATACAAAATTAACCTAAGTCACGTAAAGACAATTATGAATGTGTACATGTATTTTTCGACTAGTCCCCATAACTGAATAGTAACATCATCAAGAACTTATAATAAAAAGCTTGATTTGATGGCGTTTGAAGCAAACGGTACTGAATTGAAGTTGCAGAATGGATATTAACTCTGGGATGTAGTTACATCCAGATGACGAGTCTCAAATAGGACGAATCACGCGTCCTGGATCTCACTGCTAGCCAATATGTATCTCTGCTTATAATTACAGTTTTTGTTTTACATTTTTCAAGTTCTTTGTAAGATACAGGAATAAGATCATTTGTCTGATGGATCAAGCTTTCAAACTGAATTTTTGTACTAATCTCATTAACATTTGTAGAAGCCTAATAGAATCTTGGACTTAACAATAGTGCTTGTAATTGCATTGTGGATGAAGTAATATTAGATTAACTAAAAGACGTATTTTTTCAAGCCAATATGGAATGGTCAATACACAAATCTTTAAAGTCGGATCTCACTGAAGTAAAAAATAAGCCTAATTCGTTTTCCCTATTCAAAAGCTAGACGCTTTTATAACAAAGATATAATCGATACCTAACTTGATAAACTATGACAGACACTGACCAACAATCTAGACCACCATGGAAAACCTGAAAACACTGAACGGATGTTTCGTCCTATTGTGGGATTCGTCAGTAATCGTGAGTTCGAATCTCGCGAGGCACGATCATAGATGTGCACTGTTGAGGAGCTCCATACTAAAACGAAACGGCCGTCCAGTGCTTCCAGATTTTCCATGGTTGTCTACCTTCAACCATCGAAATTACTATAATATCCACGAAAAAAACCCTTCTGATACGAACTAAACATTATTTAATATTATTCAAATATTTTCTTATTATTAGAAAGGAACTAAATACTACAATCTAATAATCCAGTAAACTAATTTACTTTATAGCAATTAAACATCCTTTTATTTTCTATTCGTCCTAATATGAATTCATGTCAATCATCGAACATAAAATGAAACCATTTATGATTGTTACAGTTTTCATCAAAGAATGAATTCATTTCCATTAAAAGCATTTCCAAATATTTCAATCTCCCTCTCTCCCTCTCTCTTTCCCTCTCGCTCTTCAATGAATATATCATCGAATAATGAATGTTTGGATATGACCGATCATAGAATATATTCCAATGATAAATTAAACTTTATATTTTTTTGTTTTTTCTAATTGTTTAATATAAAATTGGCTTAACGACAACAACAACAACAAGAAGAATAAAGAAAAAAACAAAAGGAAAACTTGATATGTCAATAATCTAATCTAATTGATTGAGTAGAAATATGAAAAAGAAATAAAAAGGAAACATTTGACCTTGAACTTTTGATTCTTTTTTTTTCTTCATTTTTTTTAAAATGTTTTTTTTGTTTGTTTTTCTTTTTGGAAATAAACTTTTTTTTCTCAAAAAAAAACAACTTTAAAGGTTATATTTGATGGAAATAAAATTAATTAATTAACTTATAAGGTTAGAATAGAACTAATGATGGAGTATAGTTTTCAATAAACATGAAATTAAAAAAAGATGGGAAAAATAATCAGAAAAAATAAACATGTAAAATGATGTGAACAGAGAAACAAGAAACGTTGACAAACTACGGCAGCTAGTTTTCGGGACGTTTATTTCATTTCATTCAAAGCTTGTAAAACAGTAACATTTATTTTTGTCCCTAGTCTATTCTACAGATCATAAGCTTTCGTTTGGTGTATGATTCACTGCCATAGCCCTTTTTGTTTCAAAGCTATTGTATACTTTGTACTCTATTTTCTATGCTAATCTCCAGTTTTGGACATAGTTGTATTTTCTCAATTATTGTACGTTATGATCTGGTTAGTCATCTATTTATTCATATATCTTTTTACACTGATCTGGAAATCGGGAACCAGATTGGAATTGAGAATAAATCGTGTAGTGTTCCAGTTGACTTGTCTTTTCTCACTCGCATGCTTGTCAGCCAATCAGCTGATAGAATAGTTTTCGACGCTTTCATTTCGAACTAACGCATACTAGCCTTAAGGTTAAGTCAGTCAGCCTATCGCATCAAGGTCTTAATCTAGATTAGAGAAGTTATCCTCAGCACCAAAAGTGAGTAGACAGATCAAGGACGTAACATAAACAAATGAAGATTAAACGCGTATAGTAAGGTCTATGATGATGGTATGATCTGTGATAATATCATGATTGAAATGATACAGCTAAAAGATCTCGTACTGATTCAGAATATCTGTTTCATGGTGAAGACATTCATTTTAGTGAACACCTCTGATTCAGTAAGCGTCAACATTCATTAAGATAAAGTGAGATCATAAGATACAACACAGAGAGTGCAAATTAGGTCACTTCATGGAGAAGCTCTTACCTGGACAGGATTACCTAAAATCAGGGAACATCATAAACTCAAAACAAATGTCAGTCAACATCAAAGTCAGAATTTTCAATACAAACGTGGGTAATGTTTTATTGTAGGGGGCTGAAACTTGGAGAACTATTAAACCATTATAAACACGTTCCAAGTATGTATAAACACTTGTTTTTTCAAGATACTCCAGATCGATTGATTAGACATTATCATTCACACTTCATTCTGTCCGTAGAGAAAGCAGCTTCCAGATGAATAGGAGTTAAGGAAACTACGTTGGAAGTGTATGGGACATAGATCGTGAAAATCATCAAAATGTATCACGAGGCAAGCCCTAACTTGAAATTACCAAAGTGAAAGTAGAAGAGATAGACCAAAGAATACATTGGTCAGAGAACTGGAGACATACATCAAGAGAATGTATGGCACACTTGTCAATATCTATAAACGAGAGCTCAGGACATCGTATGCTGGAGATCGCTGTTTGGTGAATTATTGTTCACAGGGGTTACAGGCATAATTAATTTAATACTCTACAGTAATTTATACACAGATGATGCACCTGTAGTAAGCTCATTCCCTTACTGTATTATTTATCTGTTCACTGAAATTTAGGCACTTGATGCACCATGTAATTTTCTCTGTGATTCTGATTGAGCACATGTCAATTTTTAATCGATTCTCCCATTGGTTGTAATACACACACAATCAATAATTTATTCATACTTCATTAACACTCACAAATATATATGGATTTTTAACTAACACACACACACACTCTTGTTTTCCCTGTGTGCTATCTGTAGAAGTGGTGTTCAGGATTTTGAATAATCTCGAGTAAATCCATAATTCTACTGGAAGATTTAGACATCGTTAAATACTCAGTCAACGGGATATCATTTATTGGAGTCAGATATAGAGGATACTTGCCTCTACGACCTAACTTGTTATTCTAGGCTTATTCTTACTAACTAACCTTAATCATTTAAAATTATAATTGACATCATATGATCATGATAACTCCATGTGGTGTCAACCCTAACTCAAAATAATATCCCAGTTACTTGCACGTAAATTTAATTGTTTTCCATTAGTACAAAGAATAATTTAGGATATGAGCGTTAACAATTTAGAACAAAGTTGTTATTTAGCTACATTTTATTGTTAATTATTCTGTAGCAATTCATCATTTCTCCTCACATGGAATCCTCAAGGCCGACGGAAAAGAGGAAGACCAAAGAACACATTACGTCGGGAAATGGAAATAGACATGAGAAAAATGAACAAGAATTGGATGGAACTAGAAAAGAAGGCCCAGGACAGAGTGGGTTGAAGAATGCTGGTCGACTGCCTATGCTCCATTAGGAGTAATAGGCTTAAGTAAGTCATTGGCTGATTAATCATTCAAAAACGTAAGTTTATTGTACTTTTAACCAATAAAACTCAGTAAAACAAACATTCTTACTTGAGATATATCATGTTTTTCTAGACGGGTAGATTCTATGAAAGCAGCAGATGCAAGTCGCCATTGATTTCGATGTGTTATTAAAATTGAACATGGTGAAACGTTATTATGAAACAATGATTGACCAGTGTGTAGAAATCGTAATAACTCATTTAACTATAGAATATAGATAGAAACAAAATGATACGTAAGCCATCTCAAGGATAATTAATCAACAAAAAAACATATACTGATTCATAAATATAGCACACAACCAAGTGTTTGGAATAGTTTCAATAGAAATCGTGAGGCTAAATTTCAACATGTTTAACTAAATATTCAAAATCTTGAAGTTGAGGTTCTCGAAATACTATGTATTTGTATGTATGTAATGTGATAGATCTTATGATTTTGTGCGCGTAATACGCTTCTCGTTGTTCGAAAATGGGAGAATTTTGCCAAAAGGCAGGCTTCCACTCGAGAACAACTATATTTCCTCCATAAATGTCTTCACCAGCATGTTCTACCAACAAGTGTAAGACATAGACCTCCAATCAACTGCTCATTAGGATGGAAAACAGCTGAGCAAAATGAAAGAAAAATGGTACACTTAATGATAACGGATGCACTCCCTCGATTCTACGGCAGACCAAAAATACACAAACCAAACATTCCACTACGTCCAATTGTAGCACTCCCCGGAACATCAACACACAATTTGTCAAAAGAAATTTCACGAATACTGAAACATTTAGTAGA